CTGGGTTTCACCATGTTGACCAGGGTGGTCTCGATCTTTTGACCTCTTGATCCACCCGCCTGGGCCTCCCAAAGTGCTGGGATTACAGGTTTGAGCCACCGCGCCCGGCCCTTTTTTTTTTTTTTTTTTTTTTTTTTTGAAGCAGAGTCTCACTCTGTCAATCAGGCTGGAGTGCAGTGGTGTGATCTTGGCTCACCGTAACCTCTGCTTCCTGGCTTCAATGGATTCTCCTGCCTCAGCCTCCAGAGTAGCTGGGATTACAGATGTGTGCTACCATGCCCAGCTAATTTTTGTATTTTTAGTAGAGATGGGGTTTCAATATGTTGGCCAGGCTGGTCTTGAACTCCTGACCTTGGGTAATCCACCTGCCTCAGCCTCCTAAAGGGCTGGGATTACAGGCGTGAGCCACCGTGCCTGACACATTTTTTTAAGATAGCTGTTTTTCAGATTGTAAAAGGGATGTATGCCAGGCGCCATGGCTGTAAATCCCAGCACTTTGGGAGGCTGAGGCGGGTGGATCACCTGAGGTCAGTAGTTCTAGACCAGCCTGGCTAACACTGTGAAACCCCGTCTCTAAAAAATAAAAAAAAATTAGCTGTGCCTGGTGGCATGTGCCTGTGATCCCAGATACTTGGGAAGCTGAGGCAGGAGAATCGCTTGAGCCCAGGAGGTGGAGGTTGTAGTGGGTGGAGATTGTACCATTGTGCTCCAGCCTGGGCAACAAAGCAAGACTCAGTCTCAAAAAAAGAAGGAGGTATGCTATATGCAGAAAAGTTGGAAATCTTGGCCTGGCATGGTGTCATGTGCCTGCGGTCTCAGCTGTTTGGAAGGCTTGGGTGGGAGGATTACCGGAGCCCGGAAGGTTGAGGTTGCCGTGAGCTGTGATCGCACCACTGCACTCCAGCCTGGACAACAGAGCAAGACCCTGTCTCAAAAAACAGTCGGAAATCTTGAAACATAGAAGTTAGAAAAAAATTATGTAGGTAATTTTTATACACAGTACATATACTGTGTTTATCTTTTTTGTGCTATTGCGACATTGAATGTGCACAGCATGATCTTACCAAGTCAGCATCGTGCTTTTTTGCCTAATTCCACATAACTGCTGATGAGTGACTCCATCAGTTCTGTTGTGTTTCGATGCTGCAGTCAGCTCTGTCACTTCCTACCTCTTGCGAGCAGTGACGGATGCTTGGGCTTGGGTATAGACATGTTCTTGTGTCAGAATTGTTACCTGAGGATGGGCCCTTCGAGGTGGACTTTTGGGGCCCAGGCCATGAGAGCGGTGTGGGGTCTGTAACCTGGAGGCTCTCAGCTGCCTGCTCAGCACAGCTAGCCTCAGGAATGCCCCGCCCTCAGATCATTGCAGATGTTTAATTGGCATTGCTTTGATTGCTCTTGCCTTAGGCGTTACATCCTCCCCTTCGTGACCTGACTCTGGGTGTCTGTGGGCTCTGTGGGGCATTTTCTTCTCCACTAGTGTGAGTTTCCTCTGTGTGAAGGACCATGGGGATTGCCCTGGTGGTTGTTAGCTTTTCCTTTTATTTATTTTTTTGGACCGTACTTTTAATATCAAACCTTGCTTTCTCTTTTATTTAGTTAATTTTACTTACAACCCTGAAGTCTTAACTTGTTAAGAGATTTAACAAGTATTTATATTTCTTCTACCTTTTATTGTTTAAGACATAATTATTGATTCATTTCGGGTTTCTTTAGGTGTACTGTGGAACTCCGCCCTTCCCAGTAGGTAACTAGCTGCTTCAGTGCCGTTTC